GTAAGGAGGAAGAATCAACACCTGACCCCGAGAAAAACGTAGACTCAAAGAAAGTAACATCAGCACACACAAAGGAACTCGAGACCTACGATTATAACACTTGTACCCTTTCTAGGTCCGGGAATAGCCAAGGAATATGCACTTAATGGATCGTGCATCTAACTTGTCCCTTCCCGGTCCCAGATTATGAACAAAACAGACACACCCCAAAACCCGAGGAGAAAGGGGAATAGGAGACAAGGTAGGAAACAAAGTGGTGAAGGGAGAATGACCATCAAGGATAGACGTGGGCATCCGGTTACTCAGGAAGCAAGAAGTAAGCACAGCATCACACCAAAAAGGTTTCGGTACATTCATATGGTACATGAGGGATCGAGCAGTTTCCAAGAGATAACGATTATTTCTCTCAGTCACCCCATTTTGTTGTGGGGTGTAGGTACATGAAGTCTGATGGATAATGCCATGTTGTTCCAAATACTCTTAAAATGATGTAGAAAAATATTCATGGCCATTATCGGAACGAAAAAATTAAATGTAGACACCAAATTGGTTGCGAATTTCAGCATAAAATTTTTGGAAAATGGTAAACAATTCACTCCTTTCTTTCATTAAATAAAACCATGCCATCCTTGAATAATCATCAACAAAAATAACAAAGTATTTATACCCATTGTATGACATTACTTTATAAGGACCCCAAACATCTGAATGAACTAAAGAAAAAGGTCTCGACATATGTTTATCAACTTTAGGACTAAAGGGAACACAATGATGTTTCCCAAACTGACATGACTCACAATCCAAAACAAAAAGATGACTCAACGAAGGAACAAGAGACTTCAAAACTTTCAACGATGGATGATCAAATCGACAGTGCCACTGGAGAGAGAGATAGATGACTGGAGAGTTGTTGATGTTCTTCCACCACCATCAAGATAATACAGTCCACCGGCTTCATGCCCTCCACTAATCTTCATCCCCGTCTTGAGATCCTGAAAACACACATAGAAGGGTAAAAGGTAATGGAACAATTAAGTGACTTGGTCAGTTTGCTAATAGACATAAGATTAAACGGAAACTTAGGAACATACAAAACTAAGGACAAGGATACAGGGTCCAGGTCAACATTACCAACACCACAAATGGAGGATGTGGAACCATTAGCAAGGGTAACAGATTGTGATGTTAAGCAATGAGAGAGGGAAGAAAACACACCTGGAGTTCCAGTCATGTGACCGGAGGCTCCAGAGTCAATAATCCAGGGATTGGGTGTGGATGCCAAACAAGCCATACCCGAGTGTTCGAAAGTAGTCGTGTTCTGCTAAGACGTGGATTGGACAAACCTCTCATACTCATCACGGGGAACACTCACCATCTCCTTCTCGGGACCATCTGTAGGAGGCATCTGATCAACTGAACGATTCTCCTGTCTAAAACTGGAACTGGTGTCACTAGTCATGGCATGATTGGCCCAGGTTGAGGGTGGACCATGCAAGTCAGAGCAATAATTAATGGTATGTCCATCCATACCACAATGAGTACACCTCCTCGAACCCGAGCCACGTCCTCTACCATAGGCTCCCTCAGAATCTCTACCTCCAGTACGACCACCACCACGGTTATATGTAGGTCCACCACTACCACTCCGGCCATATACCGGACCACTGCTACCACCACGACCTCTCGACACTGCAAAGGCTGATCTATCTGAGACATTAGAGTTCTCAGTAGATCCAACAGAAGTCCTCCGAAGTCGAGCAAACACCTCTTCTAAAGAAGGAAGAGTTGATCCTCCTAGTATTTGGGCCCGTACTGGTTCATACTCTGATTTCAGCCCCACCAAAAAATGAGTCACATCAAGTTGTTCTCTCTGTTGTTGCTGAATCTTGACATCAGAAGTGAGGGGGTGATAAACATTCAACTCATTACGGATGTTTCTCATACTGGCATTGTACTCCTCAAGACTCTGATTGCCATGTTGCAGATTAAAGTATTCCTGATACAACTGATATATCCTATTTGTATTGTCTTCACCAAAATACAATTTCTTAAAATGGTCTCCAGTTTAGAGCAAATGGGACTAGCTTGGAGGTTGGACCAAGTAAAATTACTATGTAAGTGGGGCAATTCCTTATACTCAAAAACATTTATGAACTGATTAAACCTTCTCATACTTGTGGTGATGCCATGTCTCCTATTATTTGCTTCTTCAGTAAATCCGATTACATTAAAACCTCCACCAATACACCAAGCTCCTCCCACAACCCTCTTATATCACCCAATTCGTCCCACATTTTATTCCTCCCCTATATCCATTCGAACCATACAGATTTGTTAATACACATTCAGAACCATCCTCTAATTGACAAAACTTTGTAGATACTGCAAATTTACCCGCAAGTTCTTCAATTCCAACCATCTTCTCCTCTTTCCATAAAGTTCCCATGCCCCCAAAAGACCCCCAAGATGGGGCCATTGCCCAACTTACTCCCCTGGCCCTCCATACACTTCTTGCCCATATAATATCAAACTTTTCCACTTTGATTTCCTAAGGCTGTGTTTGGTTTGAAGGAAAAAGTAGGGAAAGATAGGGAAACCTTTACAAAACTTGTATAGGTTTCCCTACCTTTCCCTACTTTTTCCCTCAAACCAAACATAGCCTAAAGGACAACTATATCGGGATTCTCTTTTTTTAACCACTTCCTTAATAATAGCTCTCTTCCTAGGACTAGCCACAAAAAATTCCAACTTAGAATCTTCATAATTTATATGGGGCTGAAGTAGAGAGAAGAATTAGCTCAAAGGAAAGGAAGAGAGATGGAAGTTGAAACAAGAACTAGAGGAAACCCTTAGGAAGGAAGAGGTAAGTTGGAGACAAAAGGCAAGATGTAAATGGTTGTAGGAGGAAGATGGTAACACAAGGTTCTTTCATAATTTCGCTAATAGGAGAGAATGAGGAAGATTAATGTAGTAAGTTTGGAATGGAATGGAGAAGTTCTGATAAGAGAGGAAGAAATTACAAGAGCTTTTGTGGAGCATTTTAAGTCCATCTATGATAATCCCAACAGAGTGAGAGAGACCCTAGTGGATTTCCATTGGCATTTTGGAGAGAGGGAGCTTCTAGAACCCTTAGAGAGGCCTTTTGAGGTTCAAGAAATAAAAGATGCCTGTTCTCTATGGATAGGTCAAAATCCTCAAGCCCAGATGGTTTCACAATGGCTTTTTACCAAGATTGTTGGTATATTCTAGGTGATGACTTGGTGGTGGTTTTCTCAAAGTTCTTTGAAAGGGGAAAGATCAACATGGGTGCAAATGCTACTTTTATAGCCTTGATCCCCAAGAAAGTGGATGCAGTTCAACCAAAGAACTTTAGGCCTATCAATTTGATGGGTAGCTTGTAGAAAATCATTGCTAAAGTTCCTAAGAATAAAAAAAGTCCTCCCCTCCTTAATTTCTCAAAATCAAGGTACTTGTGTGCTAGGGAGACAAATTGTCGATCAAATCCTAATTGTGGGTGAATGTGTGGATTTTAGAGGGGGTGGAAGGAAGGAAGGGTCTAATTTGCAAACTTGATTTCTCAAAATCTGGTTGCTCCCTTTGGCTTGTCTTTCCATGTTAAAGAAGTTTGGTGTCAATCTATCCCACCAAAGGCTGGGAGTTTTTGTTGGAAAGCTTTCCAGGAAAGAATCAACACAAGTGATTTGCTTCAAAGAAAGAGACCTAACAGATGCTTATCTCCTCATTGGTGTATTCTTTGTAAAGCTGATGGTGAGTTTGGTTATCACTTATTAAAATCTTGTCAATTTGAATGGTTTACTTCTTTGTTTGGGTGCAGGTGGAACCCTCTACTGAATGTGCAAAGCTTGTTTGCTTCTTCTTCTTTAAACTGGCCAACGAAAAGAGGAAGGATAATGTGCAGATGTGCAAGGGCTGCTGTTTGTTGGACTGTTTAAGAAGAAAGAAACACAAGACTCTTTTCAGACAAGGAGAGAAGCTTAGAAAATGTGCTAGAAGCAATCCACACAAGGGTTGTACACTAGCTGAAAACTCAAGATTTGTTCCCAAACTTTTCGGTGGATGAAATGCTAAAAAATTGGAAAGAGATTGCAAGTTCAGTCCCAGCTAAGAAGACTTCAAGCCCTATATGGACTCCTAGTGGCTTCATCAAGCTGAACTTCAATGGCAGTAGTATTGGAAATCCAGGGCCCTCTGGAATTAGGAGAGTATTAAGGAATGAGCATGGGAATGTAATAGCTCTATTTTCAGGCCCAAATGGAGTAGGTGACTCTCTTAGGGCTGAGGTTCTGACAGCTTTGGAAGGGGTAAAAACAGTTAAAGAGATGAATATTAGTAAGCTGATCATAGAAGGAGATTCTGAGCTAGTAGTGAGCTGGTTAAAGGAAGACAGAAATGGTCCCTGGAGTTACAGCAACGAAAAGAGAAAGCTTAAGTGGCTGAAAAAGGACATTGATATAAAATGTACTTGGGTGAAGAGAAGTGCAAATTCCTTTGCCAAAGGGCTAGCTAGACAAGGGGTAAACAGGGATTCCATTTTCTGGGCTCAGTTGTAACTGTAACTTATTTCCTTTGGATGGCTTTTGGCCTCCTTGGGGAGCTAAGAAAGTTTAGCTCCCCTCTTTTGTATCTTAATATTTTTTCTTTATGGAAAGTTCTGTTATTGATCAAAATATAGGCAGAAGAGGAAGAGAGGAAGATGTTGGGAGAACAGCCAAAATGTATGGTGTGTGCACCCCTCACTTGTATTTTTTATCAATCACTAATTTAGATATGACATGACAGTACCTGCCCCTGGACATCTATCTCAAAGAAAATAGAAATAAAAGTAGAATAAAACAGAAATTAATAAACAAATCTCTCAACAGTCATTGAGTAGAAAATGGAAGGATTAGGTAGCTAATGCTAGCCTATTTTGGGAGTGTTTGGCATTTTCTGTTGCATATAGCTAATGCTACTCAGTTTTTATATTTATTAGTTTGTACCTCTGAACTTGGTTGATGCTACAGCTGTAAGAAGCACCTTCAACACTTGTAGAATAGTACTGTAAATTACACATGCATTTTCCGGGAAAAAACAAGACATTAGCATCAGTAAGCCACACAAACATAGGAATAATGAACAGAATAGATGGTTATATACCTGTCAAATGATGAATTGTCAACGCAACCACAAACCATGTTGAGAATATTAGTAAATAAGGGATCATTTTTACCACCTTCAAGACCAGGATCACCTTCTAGATGATCATATGCAATGAGTTTCTGCAGTTATGACATTTGCATCAGAATAAGATAATTGGGGCCTGTGCACTGTATACCACCAGAATTTTAAGAAAATTTTCACTACGATTGGCATAAAGCCAAAAATACATACCAATTTGACATACAAAATCACTTTACTAGGGAGATATGAACATCTTTCAACCAGATAAACAGATCAGCCAATGGTCTAATCTACCAAAGAGAATGGAACAGTTTATGACATTATAATTCCGTTTTTTTTTTGTTTCACTTTCTGATCACATATATAATATATGATATAATATACATAATATAAACTCACAAATGACCACTGTATTTTAAATCACTTTGCTTTGCTTTAAAGGGAGTCTTTCTATTGCTGATAAGGAATACATAGTTTCTGACGTAGGAAAATGTAATTTGTGGAGTAAGACTCGATACTAGACAACATACTACGTACATGAAGACAGTCCAATGCAGGCTCCAAAAGTTTCAAATTCTTGGTCTCAAATGCAAGACGTAGTGGCTGCAAAACAAGCTCTGCCTCAGCTACTTCTAAAGTATTCCCAGCGCTTGCTAAAGCTGCTGTAATAGTTCGACCAACCATGCCCACAGGTTTATCAATACGTTCTGCCCCTTCCACAGTATGTGAAACAGAGTGAGAACCATCTGGATCCACTCCATCTTTCACTGCTTCAACACCATCTGAATCATTTGAACTAGCAAATAAAGCAATTCCAAGAAATCAATCTAAATTCAAAAACATGAAATGAAAAGACATATCAAGTAGAAGATTATATAATTTGTGTATAGGTGTAAACCTCCCATCTCCACCCGAAAATACTGTTTGATTCTTTCCACTTGAGATGGAGTGATGATTGATCTCCTTTGTGCTATCTGTTGAAAAATAGGCACCAGAATGATGAGATCTTAACCAATCAATAAATGTAAAAGAAGAGAGCAGCTACAAAAGGAGGACCTCACCCCAGTGAAATTCAGATTAAGGAACATTATCAAAAACTAAAGAGTAAGAGAAGCAACAAAACAAATTCAGAATAGAAAGAAGTTTCCTTTCCCAAATTGAATTGTATCATCATAATACATAACCAAATCCCTACATTACCAAACCAAATCCGAAGCCAATAAAAAATATTTTTTATTGAAAAACAATTACACTAAACCAGAACCAGATATAGCAAAATATGTCATCGCTAATAGATAGAAGCCAGAAAACAAACCTCATAGAAGCAAAATAACAATATAATTACCCTATATGTTAACATCCAGTCCATTAGTGGATGGACCAAGAGTCTAACAGCAAAACATAAAAGTTCAGGTCAAACTCCACCCCCCACCCCCAATTATAACTATCTTATCATCCAAAAAAAGAAAATCGATTATCAAAGAAAATATCTCTTGATGCCAATCATAAAAATAAAAAATAAAAAAAAAATGTATCTTTCTGTTAAGCAAAGGCTTCAAGAGGAAGTTATCAGCACAGAAAATTCATGTAAGGGGGTGGAAGGAATATAGAAATGGCCAAATTCACATTACAATCATTCTATAAAGCTCTCAGATATCAGATTGAGCATTCCAGCATAGAAGRCATTTGGGTTAAACACTGCTCCTCCAAAGGAAGCTTTTGCTTGGCTGGTAGCTTTGAACAGCATTCTCACTCAAGACCAAATTGATAAGAAGAGGCTTTCAAATGGCTAACYGATAACAGATGCTATTTATGTGGCAGAAATGAGAAAGACATAAGGCATCTTTTTTTTGTTTTTTTTGCAGGAAAGACACAAAGCATCCATCCTTTTTTTGGAAAAGGTAATGTAATTTTATTCAACACAGAGAAACAAAAACAAACTGCAATTCAGATTCAGACCCAAGAAGGCAGTCTGAAATGCAGCCAGGATTACAATCTCCACCAGGAGCAAGACTGAAACAAAACGGGCGAGCTAAGATCTCTGAACTCCCCAGAAATGGAAATCCAAGAAATCAGCTTGACCACAGCTCTCTGAATTACATCATCAAGACCCTTAGACCTATTACAGAAAACTCTACTATTCCTTTCAGCCCAAATGGACCACAAAACAGCAGCTGGGATTGTCTTCCACATCAGTTTTCCTCTCTTACTTAGACCCTTCAACTTCCAACTACAAAGGTGTTCCTTAACTGATCTCGGCATGACCCACTTAGCACCCAAAGCTTTAAGAAAATGCATCCAAATCTGACAGGAGAACGGACAATGAAGACATAAATGGTCTGTAGTTTCTGTAGCAGTCCCACAAAGAACACAAGTTGAATCCAGAATTGGWATGCCTCTCCTCAACAGGTTAGACCTGGAAAGGCATTTGTCAATGGGCATCATCCAAACCAGAAAATTAGATTTTGAGGGGCTCATAGAATTCCAAATTTGTGTAGCCGGGAAATCAGAATGCCCCACACTACATAATTTTGCAGCCATGGACTTCACTGAAAAAACACCATCTGGCTTCCATTTCAGCACCACTTATCATCCCCAAGCACATCAATCTTCTGCTTATGAAAGGAGAGTCATCAGCTCCAAAAATTCATCCAGCTCCCAATCAAACAAATTCCTCCTTAAGAAAGGGGAGCAAGACTCTGAATCCTCAAACAAAGAGAAGTAATCAACCACAGTAGCCTCTTGGTTGACATCACATCTAAAAAGGTAAGGGAAGGAGACAACAAGGGGGCCTTCCAAACACCACTTATCCTTCCAGAATTTTGTTTTATCACCTTCACCCACATTCACAGAAATTCCTTCCCAGAAGATAGGAAAACTCTTCATAACTCCTTTCCACAGAGAATTACCCCAATTTGGAGGGGGATCTCTAGTTCTCCAGCTTCCCCAATCTACCCCATATTTTTCAGCAATAAGGGATCTCCACCAAGCATTCCTCTCAGCCGAGAATCTCCAAATCCACTTGCACAAAAGAGCAGTATTGAAATTCTTCAATTTCCTTATTCCTAAACCACCTTCAGCTTTAGGGAGACAAACTTGGTCCCAATTAACTAGATGAACCCTGTTATCCTCCTCCCAGCCCTTCCAAAGGAAATTCTTCTGAAGCTGCTCCAATCTTTTAGCAACTCCAATTGGGGTAGGGATCAGGGACAGGAAATAAGTTGGCAGATTTGAGAGCGTACTTTTAGTCAAGGTTACCCTTCCTCCAAAAGAGAGGTATTTAGCCTTCCAAGATGATAATTTCCTCTCCAATCTTTCAATGACTGGACCCCAAATCGAAGAAGAAAGCCAATTAGCCCCCAAAGGTAGACCCAAATACTTCACAGGAAGAAAATCAGTCTTACATGCCAATACCACATCACACTTCTCTAAGTTACAAACCTGCCCCACTGGAATGATAAAGCAGTTGTTCAAATTCGCCTTTAGTCCAGAAACCACCTCAAACCAGATTAAGATTCCAAGAATGAGATCCAACTGGGACGGAGAAGCATCCACAAAGCACAAAGTATCATCAGCAAACTGGAGAACTTTCAAAGGGGACAGAGGGTCACCCTGCCTCAGCCCCCTAGAACTTTCAAAAAAACCTGCTGATTGGCCATTAATCAAGATTGAGAACGTAGGAGAGGTTGTGCAGACTTTGATCCAATTTCTCCATTTCTACCCAAAATTCATAAGTTGCAAAACCGAATCAATGCACCTCCAATTAACATGATCATAAGCCTTGTCAATATCTAGCTTACAAATTAAACCTGGAACTCCCTCTCTTCTTTTTGAGTGAATTAATTCATCAACAATGAGGACCGAATCAAGCATCTTCCTACCAGCACTTTGATTATTAGAAATGACACTTCCTAATACCCCTTTCATTCTCTCAGCAAGGACTTTAGCCAGGATCTTATAAAAACTGTGAAGGAGACTAATTGGCCTGAAGTCTTTGATATTCACAGCCCCTTCAATTTTTGGGATGAGAGTGATGAAGGTAGCATTTAAACTTCTTTGGAAAGAGGCATTATCATGAAAAGCCTGAAAAACATTCATAATGTCTTGCTTTACAATGCCCCAGCATTTGATGTAGAACAGATTGGCAAGGCCATCCGGACTAGGCAATTTATCTGCTGCCAGCATGGAAATAGCAGCTTTGATTTCCTCCTCCGTGAAAGGCCTCTCAATGTACGACTTTTGGTCTCCACTTAACTGCTTAAAAGGGAGATTTCTGGGGAAAGGTCTAAAAGCCCAAGATTCTGTGTAGAGCTTTTTATAAAAACTTGTTGCCATCCTCTTTATATCAGCACCAAACTCCCCAATCTTTCCTTCCCACTCCAGCTTAGAAATAGAAGAGATCCTCAGTCTGGCATTTGCCATCTTATGAAAAAAGTGGGTATTTTTGTACCCCTCTTTCAGCCACCTCACTTTAGCCCTCTGCCTCCACTTAATTTCATCCTCCACTGCCGATTTGTCATACCTTAGCTTTGCTTAGGATCTCTTAAGCCTGCTTTCCTCAGAAATAGGGCCAACCTCTTCAGTTGAATAAACTTCCTCAATGATACTAGATAGGGCTCGCTTTTCAATTTCTGACTTCAAGGAATTTTCCTTTTTCCAGAGTTTTAATTTCTCATTAACTGCACCAAGTTTTCTTGCCAAGATATAAGAACAAGTACCTTCCAAGAATAACAATAAATGTACAAAGAGAAATGTGCCAAAACCCCACAGCTATAATGGGGGAACTAGAACCCCACCCCTTTGCCAAGCTTTTACTTAAGAGTTAAGACACATCCTTATCATGTACCCCACTTGTAGACCCCCAAAATAGATGCTCCCTGCTACCCCTTATCTTGCCAAAGCACCTGCCATTAAATTAGCTGTTCTACTAATCCAGTTGAATGTGTTCTTAGTTCCCTTGCTAATCCGGTTGCTTCTCTCATGGTGTGTCCATAGAACCAGGGACCTTTTCTTTTGTACTCCAGCCATCCAATAACCATGCACAAGTCACCTTGAACTAACAGATTGTTGTAGCTTAAAGCCTTCCTAATCTTCAACCCTGCACCAGTACCAATAATTCTGCATTGATTGAGTTACTGTGCCCTATAGGACCAGAGAACATTGCCAAAACCACACCTTCCTCATTTCTGGAAAACCCCCTATCCCAGCCAAACCAGGGTTGAGTAGGCTGCAGTGCTGCACCCAACAAAATTTAGTTTAATAACATTTGACTTCAGGGGAGACCAAGTGCAAACTGTGAGAGATTTTTCCATGGATGAGTTAGCAATCTGCTGCCAGCCTCTAATTATATCATCCATGAAAAAGGTCCAAAGAGAGCTGTGTTTTAACCCAAAAGGCTACCTTAGCTACTATATTGTCAAATGTCAATCAATGCTATGGTTTTGCTCTTCAAAAATTCTGGCATTTCTTTCTTCCCAAATAGCCCAAATAACGGCAGGCTCTAGTACATCTCTAAAGCATCTTTCCCCTTCTAGTCGTTGGGGAGATGCTATTAGCAAAGAAACTAGCCAGGTGAGTAGGAGAGGACCACCTGCATCCAAGAAGCTCAAAAAATTCCCCAATTCCAGAAGCGAAAAAGCATGAGATTAGCAAGTGAAGAGAAGATTCTGCTTGATCAAAAAAGGCAACAAAATGGGGTGACAAGCACCAATTAGGACTCCTTTTCTGCAGAACCACACAGGTCTTGATCTTGTAATGAAAGACCTCCCAGCAAAAAGCTCCACCTTTCAGTGCAGTGGAGCCTAGCCAGTAAAGCATCTATTCATTAAATGTAACTTCACTAATTTATATGGGATTATTTTTTCTTTTTGTTCAGAAAAGGCTTGTGGAGTCCGAGAAATCCCACGGAGATCTTTTCAATGTGGCCTACTTTATGTAGGAGCAAGAAGGCAAAGATTTTTTGGAGTTGCATTCC